TTACAAATATGAAGCTGAAGTTCCAGATTTAGATCGATAAGAAAACAACATTTTCTAATCATCAACATCAGGATCGTTAGCGTCGAATGATAGGCGAATAGAGAATCAACAAGATAGGTGATCAGATTTATCATTTTCGCTCATATCGTATTTTCACATCAATTTAGCCCTCAAAGTTGTTTAATTGCATCATTTTATACTCTACCCTAACTTAAAACCGTAATTTGATAACCCTAACCCATAATCACATAACCTCTAAACCTTGAACTTTGAATCTTAATCTCTAACTTAAAATCAATAATTTAGGATTTTAAGTGAGGGGTAGAGTATATAATGATGCAATTGAGCAACTTCGAAGGCTAAATAGATGCGAAAATACGATAGGGGCAAAAATGATAAATTTGGTCTACTAGAAGAGCAAAAGTTACCGTTTTGCCCATGTTTTTTTAACCAATTTGATCCTTATAATTATCAAATATTATACATTTAGTACTTATATTTATTAAACCAAGTCAAAAGTATAAATGGGTTCCATATTACAATTTGTTATAATTTAAAATTTATATTTATTAGTTTTAAGTTATTTAATATAGATCGTTTTGTGTGATCTTAGATAATTTAATTCAAAGTTTATTATTTATTTTTAATTTAAAGAAAAACACATGCGCCACTTTTATAAAATTGAGAAAAAAAACTAATACCAAATTGCTTAAAAAAACACAGATACCACATTTTAAAAAATACCCACCATTCACTGAAAATAGATGTGGCCCTCCTTCCTTTTCTTTTTCCTTTGCTATCTAATAATATAAATCCTTAGTATATAAAGAAGAAATACACGAGGGTGTTCACCTCACTACCATTTCTTGTATCGAACCATATCAAGAACCCCTGGATTTTTCTTGTATTTGTCAAATGAGTGATGCTCCCTCTTCTTTTTGTCCAACATTGGGTGTTCTAACAGCATCACTCGTAAAATTATTAAAATTTTCAAATTAATAATATAGTCAATGATAGATCGATCGAGTATCGAGGGACGGTCAAACTTCTTATAAATTTTAAATTTTCATGTAGTTTAGGTATTTTTATTGATAATTTAATTTTGTATATTATGCAATTTTATAATTTTACACCTTTGAATTTTTAGTATAACTCCTTGAAAGTGTGCACGTTGACAAAATCTTACATCTGTCTCTGAGTATTTAATCAAATTTATAACGTCAATAAACAATAATATTTTTATTCTAATTGATTGTAATTATAACATTATCGAATTTTATGTGGGTAAAAAATGTTCGACTCATCAATTTATCTAACAAATAATTGAAGTTGACAAAATGTGTGATGGTAAAATAGTTTTCATTGGCTTCCATTGCTTATGCCCACGAGGGAGAGATTCCCTTGGTTTCTCTATATTTGTTATATGGACCCAATGATATGAAACTTTCTGTACCTTCAACAGGAAATTGAAAAAGGAAAATCAAAACAATTATGATTGGATTTGACGACTGCACCCTTTATTTCACTAAGATTATAGGTACATTCATAATTTAAAATTAAAAAAAAAGCAATCATATTTTATGCTTTTTAGTGATAAATGTGAGTTCCCTTTGAAATTATATTACTGTTATTTATTAAATTTAATATAATTATAAGATTAATAGTTATTTGATCATTATAAATATGACAATTTTATTCATTTAGTTAATATAGATGAATTTTATTATTCATTTGAAAATAAAGAATAAAAATATATAGATTTGTATTTGATGTATTGACAATGTATAATGAATAATGTCAATACGAATATATGTGGGCAAATTTGACAAATTTAATTTTTTCTTCTTTTATTAAGAAAAGTTTGATGCCTTTTGGATACAAAACCTTTAATTCTAGTTGTAGATTAATAGTATATTATACTTATAAAATGCAATGGAAAGTAGCATTCAAAGGGTTCCATACTTTTAATTATAAAGGAACAAATTCTTAAGCAAACTAATAGAAGAAAAAGAGACAAACTTTGAGAAAATGCTTATATTCAAGTCCGAATTTGATAAAATAAAATGAATTGATGATATATTTTTATTGTTTATTGTATGACTAAAATTGGCATTAGAAAAATAAATTATTTATTGTATTATTAAGAATTATGTGATAGTACAAAAAAACTATTTATATAGTTGAATTACACAAATAAGGACATACTCTTTTAAAATAGTTGAATACGGGCCAAATATTTTTGTATCTGCTCAAATGAGGGTCTAACATTTCAAAAGAGTCATTGACAAATACTCAAATAAAGGATTAACCTTTTGGAAATGTTTTAGAATAACGGTCCTCATATGAACAAATTAGAGAAAAAAAATTGATCTTTATCCGGGCAACCTAAAAAATGTTAGGCTCTTATTTGACATTTTTTTTTGAAAAGTTAAGTATTTATTTGAGTATATTTAAAAAAAAAGGTTAGACCCCTTGTTCGGTCGTTTAAAATGTTACACGCTTATTTAAAAAAATAAATTTAAAAAAATAAAATAAATATATAATTTTATAACACACAGACGAGAGGGTGGACCTATTATATGTTTGTCCCAAGTAGTCACTTTTAATTAAAATTAAGGTATATAAAAGATTATTATTATTTTTTATTTCAACTTAGCACGGCTTGCTCTTTTTTATTTTCTTTGTTTGGTAGATGGGGACGTTAATTTTGGTATTGGTCTTCGACCACCGGTATTCCTTATTTTTTTCTTTACTTTCTTATATTGCACATTTACTTTTTTTCCTGAATAACTATATTTTTATGACACACTTTCTTATGTTTTTTGATATATTTTTTTGTCTTATTTATAAAGTCGTTTGATTGTTCTTTTCGTTTAATTTTCTTAAGGTTGGATTTGTTGAAGCCTCGATAGATCAAGATGACGCTTAGTTGTTATCAAACCGATCTTCCATGTTTTGGACCTTCATATTAGATTTAGATACGTCGTTTGCGTTTAGAAATTGTTTTATCATGATGTTTGACTATAATTTACGAATGTCAATGATCTTTAAACAATTTGATCATTTGTTGTGGTTCACTTGTTGATGCAATCAGATCTGTTCGCATATATCTTTTGTTTGAGTTTGTTTAGATGAGTTGTTAATTTTTTCCTTGTATGGTCATTGTATAATCTCAAACGGCTAATTTTTTGTGTCAATAATAATAAGAATATATCTTAATTATACGTTTAGTTTACGTTTATGGATGTAAACCATATTTTGATTATTTTTTCTTTTTTAATAAACTAACCACTTTTAGTTACATTTTAAAAAAGGTACGTGCAAGATATATATTAGTAAAATTTATAGAATTGAGCTTGTTTAACTCTAAATGAAGGATTGATATATATATATATATATATATCTACATAATTCTTTAGTTTTACACATATTTAAGACCATTTGATGAGTGGAAATAGATGGTTGAAATTGATTCTTTTTTTCTTCTTTCTAGTGAATATCTTCTTATTTCCTACTGTTAATCTCAACCATCTATTTTCACTCATCCAATGATCTTAAATCTGTGTAAAACTAAAGAATTTTACATTGTGTAAGAGGATCCTATCTCTATATATACAATGTAAAATTCTTTTAGTTTTACACAGACTTAGGACAGTTGGATGAGTGAAAATAGATGATTGAGATTAACTCATTGTTTTTTCTTTAGTGAATATTTTCTCATTTCCTTCTGTTAGTCTCATTCGTCTACTTTCACTCATCCAATAAGTGAAAATATATGACTGAGATTAACCCATTGTTTTTTCTTCAGTTAATGTTTTCTCATTTAATACGGGTTTGATAATAAATAATTATTTTTTAAGCTATAAACATGTCATTCAATTCTTCCGATAGATTTATGGTTTAGTACATGCCCACCTTAAAATATGTATTTTTTTGTAATAATTCTTTAGTTTATTAGCTGTGTCTATCCTATAATGTTATTTTTGTTCACCCAATACAAAAAATTTATGTTGTTAATATATGTGTATCCACCCACCACCTTAAAAAATAATTTTAGATTCTTCATTGCTCAATTCAAATATTGTTATAAATAAGACACTTCGTTAAATATTGTATAAAATAGTGACATGATCTCGTATTCTAATAGTTTTAGCTCTTAAAATTTATATAAATTTTAAATTTAGTTATAATCTGAAATAATTCAATAAATTTAACCATTGATATTTAATAATTTAAAAAGACTAAATTTATAGAATTTTTAAATATGAAGAGTTAAGTTTATTGAATTATTTTTAATTATAATAAATAAAATATTTATAATAATATTTTAATTAAATAATTTATTTATAGTTTTAAAAAAAGTAATATGTTTATTATTAAACTCACAATTATAGTTTACATTGTTTATAGTAGGAGTGGATTACATACGTGCACTTTATGCGACATTTGAATTTAAATAGCATAATCTACTGTAATATTTAAACTTGTTAATTATATATATATATATATATATGTATAGTTTTTGAATTTAAGATTTCAAATGATAACAATTAACAATAAATCTTTTAACCACTAAATTGTTTACTTTATATAGTTATTTTAAATTTAATTATTTAATAAATCTGTATATTTAAAAAATTTAACAATTTAATTTCTTCCAAAATGTAACCTTAGATTTCGTACTTATTTCGATATTTAAAAGTAAAGATCCGCCGTCAACAGGAAGAGTGTGACAGTGTGGGGTCGTTGTCAATGGTATTATAGGCTATTAGCATCCATTACCTATACAATAAGGAAGTAAAAAACCTATCTTTTAGAAAAAGCAAACAATAAAATGAAAAATTGTGGTTCCAAACAACGGTAACGACTACACAGCAACCTGGAACAATGGGAACTCGACAGCACATTGGTCTAAAACCACTCTGGTTTTCACTCTCCACTTTCCCTAAAACCACTACTTTTGTTCCATTTCCAATTCTATATATGTTTTTTTCTTTCCACACACTCTCTGCAAACACTTCATATTTAGCAAAATCACAAGAAGCTGAAACCTAAAAAGGGTTCCCCAACTTATTAGGTATCATATTTTTTTTCACTTACTTGGATCTGTTTCTTTTTAGTGTTTAAGAATCTGGGTTTTGCTTGTTTTGGTGTTCAGATATTAAAACTATGGGGAGAGGTAGGGTTCAGTTGAAAAGGATAGAAAACAAGATCAACAGACAAGTTACTTTCTCCAAAAGGAGAGCTGGTTTGTTGAAGAAAGCTCATGAGATCTCTGTTCTCTGTGATGCTGAAGTTGCTTTGATCGTCTTCTCTCACAAGGGCAAACTTTTTGAGTACTCCACTGATTCCTGGTAAAAAAACACTAAACCATTTCTGGGATTTTTATATATGTATAACTGAGTTTCATTGATGTTTCGTGCAAGGTTAACAGTTTAGCTAAAAGAAGATAGATGTTCTCAAAACGTAACAAAGAGATTAGAAGATCAGTGGGGTTTTCCCGGGGATCATGAAAGTAGCAAAAGAAAGGAAATTTTGGGGAAGAGCTTTGTCAAATCTGGCTAATTAAAGAAGTTATTGACCAATGGAAGAACAACAAATTTTTTCCCTTTTTGATTTTTTGTTTTCATGTCCAATGGCCTACCTTTCTTAATTAGGAGAAAGCAGACGCGCGCAAAAGAATTACATGAACTAGATTGAAAATACTTGAAACCCTCTTTTCCTTTGCCTTTCTGCTTCAGCAGCTCATCAAACCCTAAAACCTCTCTGGTTTTTTTCAAGAACTCCCAGATCTAAACAGAAAACCCTAAAAGATAGATTTATACAGTTTTGATAGTTTGAAGGGGAAAAATAGGGATTTACACCCAAAACATTATTTATAAATCTTGAATATTCATTACTTCAAGCTCTAAATTGGAATGAATTAGTAACTAATAATATATAGGAAAAACATTACATACATGATATAACTATGATCAGTAAACTCTTTTTCTTCTTCTATTAAAATGAATAGTAAACATTTATAAATAGCAAACTCATTAATTATAGTTTTATCTAATTATTTCTTGATTTCTTGATTATAACTGTATACATGAATATATATATATATATATATATATAGCCTTTAGGATTAAAATTTGCGTTTTCTGCATATTTCTCAGCATGGAGAAGATACTTGAACGCTATGAAAGGTATTCTTATGCTGAGAGACAGCTTGTTGCTACAGAGTCCCAACCTCAGGTATATAACTATGTATAATTATATATATGTGTATGTATGTATACGCATATATAGCAAATAGCATAAAAAAGGTGTTAATGTTCCGGTATTGATCTGCAGGGCAACTGGTCCATGGAATATAACAGACTTAAGGCCAAGGTTGAGCTCTTGCAGAAAAATCACAGGTACTACTAAAACTTATATAATATGCTATCTAAACTCGGAAGAGTGTTGGATTTAAATATGTGTTCAACATGAGTTTATTCAATTTACTCTTATGTATTTTCCCCATATATTTATAAGAATGTATCTTATATATATATAAGAAAATGATGAACCCTAAGAAAGTAGGTTGAACTGATCATTTGTAGGATACTAAATATTATGTTATTCGAACTTGAATGAGTGTTGGACATAATTATATGTCAATATACATTCATCTCAATGCTTAAACATTCCAGGAACTATATGGGAGAAGATTTAGATTCACTGAGTCTCAAGGAGCTGCAGAACTTGGAACAGCAGCTTGATACTGCTATTAAACACATTCGATCTAGAAAAGTATGATTTTGAACAGCTTTTATTTTCTTGGTTTTTTTTTATAATCCTTCAATTGGAACTGTCTTATTGTTTTTCTAATGATGAAATAATGGATTTTTGCAGAACCAACTCATCTGCGAATCAATCTCTGAGCTTCAGAGAAAGGTAAAGCCTCTCAAAACATATGGTTTGCTTGTCAATCATGGATATATATACAGTTATACAGATGTATGTATGTACATGTTCATATATATTTATTCATTAACTTGTATATATCATTGCAAAAATAACTATGCTACAGGAGAAGGCGATACAGGAGCAAAACGCCGTGCTAGCAAAGCAGGTGAATTTTATCTTCTAGGTTTCATACTACTTATTCAAATCCGGAAAACGTAATATATATATATTATGAACTTATACACAGTCAGTAAACCACACGACACCGCACCTCAGGGCGGATGTACATGGCTCTCTAAGGGAGTTATTGCACGTCCATTATTTTTAAAAAAAATATTAAATTTAGTTTAATTTGTTAATAGGAATAAAAAAATAAGAAAATTTGTATACCCAAATTTTTTTAAAATAGAGTATTAAAATTTTAGACCCCTATTTTTTATTTTCTAGGTCCATCACTGTCTCAGTGCATGAAGTTATAACTACTACTGTGAATACATCGAATTCAAACCTATATATATGCGTGTGTTTTGCTAAGTCAGAAGTTTTGTTAATAATCTCCGAAGGATACAAAACTACTATATATATATACATTTAAGAGCGAATAAAAATAAAGAGCTTGTCTTGGCATTTGCAGATCAAGGAGAGGGAGAAGACAGTGGCGCAGCAGTCGCAATGGGGGCAGCAAGAACATGGCCTCAACACATCATCTTATCTGCTGCCTCATCCGCCACCGCCGCATCCTTGTTTGAATATCGGGTAACATTTCTTCTATCAGTATGTGACTTACATGTGTCCGATATGTTTTCATTGGAAAAAAATACTAAAAAATGAAAAGTTGAAGTAACGTAGGTTTTCATCCAACGACAGTAGATTCGGATATAAAACTGGTGATCATAACATGCTTCTACAATTTGTGATGCAGTAGCACGTACCAGGAAGAGGCAACTGAAGTGAGGAGGAATGAACTTGACCTTACCCTTGAACCTATTTACCATCTGGGATACTTTGCTGCATGAAATTGGTACTATATATATAAATATTATATATGTGTATGTATGCATGCATGCATGTATGTATAAGAATGCTTTGTTTTAGCAGCTAATTATGAAGTTTTGGATTGTATGAATAGGGACAGTGATGGATTTGCATTATCATGGTAAAAGAAAGGGTTGAGAAATCGTTTGAAACTCATGCTTTTATATGTATGTTCCTATTTTGACATGTATATGTATATATACATTTACGTGTCTATGATAAGTGTATAATATATATATCCATGGATCTTGGATTTCCCATGAGTAATTATTGATCAGTTGTTGACTTTATTTCAAGTTAGGATTTCATATTTAGTTATGCATTAATTTGTAATATAGTACTTCAACTAAGGATATTTATAATATATGTTTTTTATATTAAATATATATTGAGTATTAAAGATGATATTATGAGTGTTGATAATTATATTGTCTCAATGTTTGAATCTTAAAAACGGTATTATTAAGAAGACAATCACTCGTTCCGAACATGAATAAAAAATATGAAAAAAATGCCACTTTCAAATTCTTTTACTTTAACCTTATATAAAAGAGTGAAAAGACAAAAGTATAATTATAATAATATCCCTATATTAATATTTGAAGAAGTCGTCCTTTTTAAAATTATTATTTTTAATTAAGTTGATAAATAATTATTATTATTTTGATTAAGCTAAAAGTAATTACAAAGTAATATCTATTATAAGTTGGTAAATAAATAACTTGTTAGCTTATGACATCAACTTAATTAGTTTTTTAAAATAAATAGTATGTAATAGATTTATTTTTTTTTATTTTTTTTTAACTAAATTGATACTTGAAATATTGATAATTCTACTATTATAAATTTTTAGTACACCCACAATGTGATAAAACTCGTTATAAAGAGAGAGAATATGAATATGCAAATAGCTTTAATCTTTTAAATTTAGGTGAAATTAAAAAGGAACTCAAAATGCTAAATAAAAGTATATAATTAATTATAAGGACATTTTATTTTAATTAAAATGTTACTCCTTTTAATAAAAAATTAAATAATTAGAAGATGAATGAGTGTTTAAAGATCATAATTCATTTTAAGGAATTGGTCCTTCACTTTAATTTACTAGAGTTTTATTACTACTTGCGAACCTCGTCCATGCAAATCTCTTAAAATATGAACACAAGTTTCGTGCGAACCTTTATGTATATGGATCATCCCTTTATAATGGATCAGGTGTCGCTCACCTTCTGTCCATCACAAACATATCTTGTGTAACATCCCATCAACCATGGGTTGACACATGTGATTTCTTATTCTATGCTATCGTTCTTTAATACGTCCAATCAATATTAATGACACGACAACTCTAACTAACATCTATCCAAAGCATTTTAAATAATCATATAATAAAGAACAAAAAAACAAATACTCATGATCACCATAAAAATTAAATCTACACCGCCAATAATCGGATTGTTGATCACTTTATTAGTCAACAGGTTTAGTTTTTCTTTATGGAAACTGTCGGAACCGATAGCTGTTGAACCATCGGGACGTCATCGACCTGTTGCTGCATCTGGATACAAAGTATCTCCGCTTGAGCCACGGCCCGCTGCATTTGGAGCTCCGACACCTGGTTCTGCAAAAACGATATGGCCCCTACACACCCGTAAACCGGATCTCTCACCCTCGCGTTCGCCTCGTACACCAAGCTGCTCACCGCGTTCGCCCTTTGTTGCACCGGCACCTCATGAAGCATTTTGCTGACATTGTTGGCACCGAAAACCTTGTGAACGATGGCGAACTTATGGGGATCGTCGGAAGGGAAGTAAGGGGCGAAGATGCAGTCCTTGGTACACCGGCGACGAAGCAACTTGCAGGAAGCGCATGGTGAATTCCCCCCCATCCTTGGGAACTCAAAGACTGGAACTCTCGATTCTCTATATATATGTTGTACATCCTCTGGACCTCATCCACAAGCCTCACTTTCATTGTTGGTCCTCCACCTTTCGAGACCTTTAAAGTCAAATATCTTGTAGACGACTATAATTCCTTGATGTAGTTATTGGATAACCCACGTGATCTATCATGGTCAAATCTGATATCTTCGAGATTTTCTTCTCTGAGTTGGTTGGAGATATGGTCGCGACCGAGGGGTAAGTCATTCCTTTCTCCTTTTTTACGTTTCAGTCCTTTTTCACTTCTCTCGGAAAAAATAAATCCGACGAACTTCGGGCTTTCCTCTTCGAACCGAGGTGAGAACTTCTCTGCTTTCTTCTTTGCCTCGTTCCCCTCTGTTTTTTAAGTTTTGAATGTTCTTTGTTTTTTGTGATATTTTTCGAAACTGGTTTTTTCCTCCTCGGTTTTTCCTCTCGTATTTTCGTCGAATGAATCTGATTTCTATCCCTGTATTTTTTGCATGTATTTTTGTCTTCGTATTTCGTACGTTTTCACCGTCCCTCCTCTGTTCGATGTACATAATTTTATAGCCAAAGTTATCGGCTATTTTTAGAGTTATATACGAACTAAAACACTTGATTTGTTTATTTGTTGGTGATGGGTCATTGTCGTGCTCTCCTTGTGTCGAAGGATTCGGAGTTGGCAGCGTGTGGCCGTGAAAAACGACGATTGGCTTGGGATGAAGGCATACAACGTTGGGCAGCTTGGGTTCAGCGTTGGGAAGCTGGTTTTAGATCCCATGTGGGCCAGTAGCTTTGTCATAATCTTAGGCCAAATATTCAAGCCTTCAACATGTAATGAAAAACAAATTAATAGTAATAAACATACGCTATATAATTATAATATATAGTATGTGTATATTATGTAATATAATACACATAGCATATACTATAAATAATAACGCATAAATCATGTAAATGCCACATGGACGAAAATAAGTGTTTACAGAAACTAACATTATGATCCAATTATTAATAAACATGTAAATTTGAACAATTAATTTTGTTTATATATTGCATATAAATTATTTAATTATTTTTTCCAATTTAGTGTATAAAAAATGTTGAACTTTTGGTTTTAAACCAAAATTTTAACTGCAAATTTTAACAGATTTACTCAATATCTTTTTATAAAGTTCAGGGGGCAAAGTTTCATAAATTAAATTAGATAAGAGTAATTATCAAATTTCATATAATAAAAGGACGAATCTACAAATTAGACCTAATAAAATAAGTGGACTGCAAGGGCCCGGATAATTTTACAGCCTACGCCCACCACCATAAACCCCCTCTTACAAAACCCAAAACCCTGTCTTTGATCCTCGATTCCCATTAGCACTGAATTCCCACTGCCGACCAAAATACGCAGGCGGAACTATGCTTAAGCATTCAAGTGTCGAATCCAAAAACAAGAAGAATACCACCAAAAAGTCGGGTCCAGATGCCATATCCATGAAGCTCAAGGCTCCAAAAGCCAACCCTTTCGAGACCATTTGGTTCCGTCGGAAGTTCGACATACTCGGCAAGAAACGCAAAGGTGAAGAACGTCGCATCGGCCTTGCTCGTTCCCTAGCCATCCAAAAGGTAAAAACTCTACCCCAGAAATCCAGCTTTTTTTGTTTCTTGCACAATATTTGATTACCTGTTTGTTACATGTGTTGATATGATTTTTTGGGTTTGTTTCAGAGGAAGAAAACGTTGCTGAAAGAGTACGAGCAAAGTACAAAGTCTTCTGTTTTTGTTGATAAGCGAATTGGGGAACAAAACGATGACTTGGGAGAGTTTGAGAAGGGTATCTTGCGGTCTCAACGTGAACTTCAGGTTGTTTTCTCTTTTTAAATATTAATTTGTACTTCTTTTTCGCTGCTTTGGTCCTACTCTAGTGGTTTCATATGTGCGTGCGTGTCTGTATATTTGTGTGTTTTAGAAATTTCACTTTAGTTACTACGCTTATTAAAGTTTGTGTCTTTTGCTTCCTACCTGGTGAAATATTGAAGCTTTTTTATTTAATTTAAGGTCGTCCTGCTGAAACTGGAATCGAACATCTAGTTGACTCAGGCACTGACTGAACTTCAGGTGAGAATGGTAGATGGAATATTCCATTATTGATAAAGGAATTAGCCCCCTCCCCAAACATTGTACTGAATGAACCTTGTTAGTGCTAGAGTGTATTGACTTTATCCTTCATTTTGTTAGTAGTGTTTCCTGTGCTTTCTTGGTTACTGCTATTGCATAATTGTGAAAAAGAATAGCTGTTGAGGCTAAGTTTGTATAATCCAGATATTTCATTTTGTTCTGCAGTTGAAATTGGGCAAAAAGAGCAAGTTCAATTTATCAGATGGAGAAGAAGATGAGTTTGATGCTCCAGATTTTGGTTCCCTCCCAGAGAGGGATGATTTTGAGGACGAAATGCTGTCCGATAATGATAATGAAGCTGATGAAAGTAAGATTTGACTTCAGCTTTCATTATGATAATAGCTTATAATTGGTGATAATCCAATATTCATAATAACATTTTTATTTGTCCACACAATGCATTGTTTCACTTGTTAGCCTTTTCATATCTGTAAAAGTGACTAAAGTTCCTGTTTTTTTTTTTATAGGAAAATAGGCCTCATTAAAAACCCCCTTCATACCCTCCATGTTGCAACAGTAACATGAAGAACATTGGAAGGAGGAAAAGAGTGCCTATGAATTTTATTCATTAGAACAATAATACACAGCTAGAACCAAAACCTACTGATACAACATAACACTGATTACATAAAATTGAAAACAAACACCCTACGGAAAACAAACTTTCCGTACACGATAACGCACCAATTACATAACCTACTAATCAACCAATACCATCTTTAGCTATCTTATCCGCTTCCCAATTAGCAGCTCTCAGGACATGCCTTGAAATAATGTCTTGACCTTCCATACGAGAAGCTATATCCTTCACCAAGGACTGAAACATAGGGGTGCATAAATCCGGATTTTTAATCCACTTCAGTGCTGTACTAGAATCCGATTCTAGAATAACCCTCTGACTTAGGGCAGATCCTAATTCTTTAATAAGAATCAGTCCTCTATTAATCGCCAATAGTTCTGCTAATATAGGAGGACCACTCCCAACCCTTTTTGAAAACGACTCAATCAACATACCTCTGCTGTCCCTAATCAGTCCACCTATTCCTCCTTTATCCCAACCCCTCACCATTGCACCATCTACATTAAGCTTAACGAAACCATCAGGAGGATGAACCCACCACGATGAAGTAGAGCAACCCTTATTCTGTCTTCCCACTGAATCAACTAATTTTAAATCTCCCACTAAGGAGTCAAACGGGATATGCACATCCTTAAATCTAGCACCAAACCAAGTAGCTGTTCTAAAACGAACAAGAAAGAAAAGCAGTGCTGCATCCACCTTCCCTTTCTGAAAAATTACCCCATTCTTGCATTTCCAAACAGTCCACATCATCGCCCTTGGGATGAATTTCCAAATAATGGATTTCGGAAGTAAATCATCCCACAAAATGATGAAATCAATCATATTCTTTGGAACCACAAAAGAAACATTCCATAAATTCAGAAATCTAGACCACAGACCCCATACTATCTCACAATGCAAAAAAAGATGTGAAACCATTTCTCCATATCTAAGACACATCGGACATAGGGGGTCCTCGATCTCAGCCACTCCTCTCTTCAACAATTTCTCCTTAACCTCCACTCTCTGGTGTGCATGTTGCCAAACAAAAGTTTCCACACGAGGGTGCTACTCCTATCCAAAAAATGCCTTTCCCAAGTACCCTCAAACCCCTAAAGTTCCTGCTTTTTGTCTGCAAGACTTTAGACAACAACAAAAACCTTTTATTCTTCTTATTTACTTACTATATAGTTCAATCTAAAAAAAATCCAAGAAAAGTGATTTTAATGATGCAAGCAAGCGTAGTAATTCAATTTACCATAAGCTTCAATATAGATTTGTGTTTTAACTTCTGTGTATTCCAGTGGATGTTCCATTGTTGTTTTTGCACATTCCAATCTTTTATGCTTTATATGAATAATTTCCAATCAAGTTCTCTTCAAAATTTTATCTTCCCTGCATTTTTTTCTTCCATGTTTTTTATTGTCCCATGATGTGGTACTAATGATTTGTTCTTCCTTTGTAGAACGACCTGCCATCTTAAAGCAACTTAATGCACATGGTGCACAAAATTCGTCTGAAGGGGGTTTGATGAAAGGAGAAGAAAATGTAAGACCTAACTTTAATTAAGAGACACTTGTTTGTGGTTGTGGTTTATGTTAGCATATCACTTTTTTATGACTAAGCTTGTTTTAGTTCTTTGCACCCTTAATCATGGTGTTATGATGGAAGGGAGATTAGGGTTTGATCAGATGGAATTGGGGATTACTCGAGGAAGGTAATTTGGGAAAAAATGACTGAAATTGGAAAATGAAAGGGAATTAGGGATTGAGATGTTACTTGAGGGATTTACGGTTGAGGCAACAGAAGGAATGAGGTTGGGTGGACTGCAAGAGCAGGCTAATATCATTAAACCTTTAGCTAAATGGGCCCAGTCAAGTAATGACCCAGAACAGAGTGAAGTTGAGGAGAAACAGGCCAGCACGTGTAGCCCACTTGGAGATATCCTGTGAATCAGCAAATGAGTAGTTAGTTTGTTAGATTTGCTGGCAGAATTACAGCTGTAGGTACTTGTGAATATATAAGTTGTACCTGAAATCTAAGGAAATCATTATGAATGAAATTACACGTTTTCTGTATCTCTCTCTCTTTCTTTCTTTCTTTCTGAAATCTTTCATTTTCTCTACAACAACCCTAAGTCATAACAATTGGTAATCAGAGCTGAGTTTAGTGATCCAAAAATCATTTTTCACGCTGGGAAAGACAAGAAAAATGAAAAAAGTTGGAACCACAGAAGTACCAGAACAATCAACAATGGAGGTTAAGGAAGAAACCTTACTAACTTGGTGGGCGGGGCAGAAAGCAAAGCTAGAAGGGAGGATATAAACCTTAGAAGATGGAATGATTGAAAACAGAGGGTATTTGCAGAGGATCTTACAGCTGATCAATCAAGCAGCTGAGGAGAAAGATTCACCTCAGTCAGTGAAGAGTCAACCAACAACAGTTGAACAACAGAACAAAAATGGAGGTAAACAATCATGTTTGATTACGGTTCTTAGTGAGCATGAGAAGTATACTTTTCAACCTAATGAACCAGGAATATTAGCTTCTAAACCTGTGGGGTTTACTGGTACTCTACCTCTGAATCAGACATTGCAGGAAGAGAATGTTAGGGGCAGTTCTAGTGAGGTTAAAGTGGACAGTAAAGGATTGTTTGGGAGTTCAGGGCCTATTTTATCTCGTCCTAAATTAGAGCTGCAGATGTTTGATGGAAGTAATCATAGAGGATGGGTTAGAAAATGCCAGAAATATTTTAATCTCTTGGGAGTTCCTGAGGAACAAAAACTGGATGTGGCTTCAATGTACTTAATGGGAAAGGCTGAGACTTGGTTTGATGGTTATATTATGCAGAAACATAGAGTGACTTGGCATGAATTTGAGGCTGATTTGTGTCAGATTTTTTGACAGAAACTATTCAGATATCATTGAAGAGTTTAATAAGTTAATGCAGAAGGGTAGTGTAGAAGAGTATCAAGAAAAGTTTGAGGAGTTAAGACCCTATTTACTACAACAACACATGCATTTAGGGGAGGATTATTTTGTTTCCAGTTTCATTAGTGGCCTCAAGGAGGAATTAAAACACAAGGTGAAGTGTTGGAGCCCAGAAATTTGTCTGAAGCTTACAGGAAGGCCAAACTTTATGAGTTGGCTATTGAGATAGAAGGAAAGAAGTCTAAATTTTCTCAATTTTTTTCCTTATACTCCTGCAAGTAGTCAACCAAACAGTGGCATTAAGGGTTTTCAACCTAAGACAATTCCTCCTAATACTAATACCAAGCAGAGTTTACTGGAATATAGAAGAGCAAATAATTTATGTTTTAAATGTGGGGAAAAATTTGCGCCTAGACATCAGTGCAAAGTTAGACAGTTGCACAGTATGGAAGAAGAAGAAGACTGCTGATCAGGAATTGACAGAAGAAGAAATTGGAGAAGGGAATGATGCAACCAAAGGAGCCTTGGAAATTTCTATCAATGCTATCACAGGGAATGTATGGCACACTACCTTACGAATTCAAGGTTTTATTAGAGGGAAACCACTTACTGTGCTGATTGATAGTGGCAGCACCCATAGTTTTGTGACACCTAAGTGGGCCAAAGAAGGAGTAGAACTAGTTCGAACTCAACCATTAGTTATTACAGTAGCTAATGGAGAAAAATTGTTCAGTACTGCCAGAAGCAATAAGGTGACTTGGAAGATGCAAGGTTATGAATTTCAGCATGATTTCAGAGTTTTGTCTTTAGGGGGCAGTGATATGGTACTGGGGGTGGACTGGATGGAAGAGTTTAGCCCTATAATGATGGATTTTAAGGCCAAAACAATTAGCTTTGAAAAGGATGGACAGACTGTTCTAATTAGAGGGACTCAGAAGTTACCACTACTCAAATCAATTTTAGGAGAAAAATTTCAGAAGTTAGTTGCAAAAGATACTAAAGTGAATGGAGAAATTTATTTGTTGAATGCTGAAGTGGAGGAAAGCATAATTCCTCTATCTTTACAAGATTTATTAGAGGAGTTTAAGGAAGTGTTTGAGGAACCTGAGGGAATGCCTCCTAGCAGAAAACATGATCATGCTATTGTTCTTAAACAGGGGACACAATTAGTCAATCTCAGACCCTATAGATTTGCTCATCATCACAAGACTGAAGTGGAAAAACAGATTGCTCATATGTTATCCTCATCTATCATACAAGTAAGAGTCCTTTTGCTTCTCCTTGTTTACTTATTAGAAAAAAGGATGGAACTTGGAGGTTTTGTGTGAACTATAGGCAACTTAACTCTTATACAGTTAAGAATAAATTCCCTATTCTTATAGTAGAAGACTTATTAGATGAATTACATGGAGCTACTTTCTTTTCCAAGATTGATTTGAGATCTGGTTATTGGCAAATTAGAATTAAAGATGAGGTTGTTCATAAAACTGCTTTTAGAACTCATCAAGGGCATTATGAATTTAAAGTTATGCCTTTTGGCCTTACTAATGCCCCGGATACTTTTCAAGATTTGATGAATGACTTGTTTGCAGCATATTTGAGGAAGTTTGTTCTTGTGTTTTTTGATGATATTCTGATTTACAGTCCTAGTATGGCAGAACATAAAAAACATTTAAGAGGTGCTAGAAATTCTGTTGAAAAACAAGTTGTATGCCAAGAAGAGTAAATGCTTTTTTGGCCAACAACAAATAGAGTATTTGGGACATTTAATTTCAGCTAAAGGGGTAGCAACTGATCCTGAAAAAATAAAGGCTATGCAACAGTGGCCTTTACCTAAAAATCTGAAAGCTTTGAGAGGATTTTTGGGTTTGATAGGGTATTATAGAAAATTTATCAAAGGGTATGGAGAATTGAGTAAACCCTTGACCAATATGTTGAAGAAGGATGGATTTCATTGGTTTATAGAAGCTAAATTAGCATTTGAAAAATTAAAAAGGGTTATGTGTGAAGCTCCAGTTTTGGCTTTACCCAATTTTGACCAGAATTTTTTTTTGGAAACTGATGCTAGTTCCAAAGGAATTGGGGCTGTTTTGTCTCAAGGAGGAAGGCCTATAGCTTATTTAAGGCTTTGGGGCCAAAGCATGCTGATCTTTCTATCTATGAAAAAGAATACTTGGCTATCCTAATGGCGGTATCACACTAGAGACATTATTTGGAGAGTGGTTCATTTTTCATTAAAACAGATCATGAGTCTCTAAAACACTTATTAGAGCAAAAGCTAACCACCACTATTCAGAAGAAAGGTCTTACTAAGTTATTGGGGTTGGATTAGACAATCCAGTTCAGGAAAGGCAAAACAAACAAGATGACAGATGCACTTTCTAGACAGCAAATGGATTATGGCAAGTTTCTGCAAATGGGGGTTACTGTTATTGTTCCTACTTGGATGCAGGATATTGAGCAGAGTTATGAAGGAGATCTATTAGCTCAAGAGAAACTTCCTATTTTAATTATTCAGCCTGACAAGAGTGAGGAGTGGAAGAGAAGGAAAGGAGTGCTATACTTTAAAGACAGAATTTATATGGGCAGCAAGGGAGATCTCAGGCAGAAAATTATTGTGGCTTCCCATGATTCACCACAAGGGGGTCATTCATGCATTCAAGCTACTTATCAGAGGATTAAAGCTTATTTTTTTTGGCCAAAGATGAAGCTTATGATTCAGGAACATATACAACAATGTGAGGTATGCCAGAGAACTAAAAGTGAGCACATTTCCAAGCCAGGGCTACTACAACCTATTCCAATTCCACACAATGCTTGGGAGGTTATAACAATGGACTTTATTGAAGGGTTGCCACCTTCAACAAAGCACAACTGTATTATGGTAGTGATTGATAAATTTGCTAAGTATGCTCATTTTATGCCACTGTCACATCCCTACACAGTGGTGCAAGTGGCTGATATATTGGATCAGGTTTATAAGCTTCATGGTCCTCCTAAGGTAGCTATTTCTGATAGAGACAAGTCTTTTACTAGTCTATTCTGGCAGGAGTTACTTAAGCAATTGGGGACAACTACACTTTTCAATACTGCCTATCATCCAGAGACAGATGGGCAAACTGAGAGACTCAACCAATGTTTTGAACAATATCTCAGAAGTATGTGTTTTTTAAAACCTACATCTTGGTCTAAGTGGTTAGCCCAAGCAGAGTGGTGGTATAACGCTAATTACCACTCTGCTATAAAAATGACCCCATTTGAAGCCTTATATGGTTATAAGGCTCCTATGTTAAGCTGGTCAGAGGATTCTAGAGTGGATGCAGTTCAAACTATGATGCAAGACAGAGAGCAATTCAATGCTTTATTACGTGAACAACTCATGCAAGCCAGTAATAGAATGAAGCAGATTATTGATAAGCATCGTACAGAAAGGGATTTTTTGGTGGGAGAGGAAGTTTACCTAAAATTACAGCCTTACAGACAGACATCACTCGCTCTAAGGAGAAACCTGAAGCTTGCTGCTCGATATTTCGGTCCCTACAAAATACATGAAAAAATTGGTCAGGTTGCATATCGACTGGAATTGCCATCAGATTCAAAATTGCATCCAGTGTTTCATGTTAGTTTGTTGAAGAAGAAAATAGGAAAACAAGGACTTATTTCGCCGAATCTTCCAGAAACGTCTTCTGATAGGCAATTGAAGATTTACCCAGCCATCGTCTTGAATTCACGAGAGATTCACAGACAAAATCAGCGGGTCATGCAGTTCCTTATACAATGGACAAATATGGGGCCAGACGATGCCACTTGGGAAGACTACACGGTGCTGAAGAATCAGTTTCCTGATTTCGATCCTTGGGGACAAGGATCATCTGGTGGAAGGGGTATTGTTATGATGGAAGGGAGATTAGGGTTTGATCATAAGGAATTGGGGATTACTCGAGGAAGGTAATTTGGGAAAAAACGGCAGAAATTGGAAAATGAAAGGGAATTAGGGATTTAGATGTTACCTGAGGGATTTAGGGTTGAGGCAACAGAAGGAATGGGGTTGGGTGGACTGCAGGAGCAGGCTGATATCATTAAACCTTTAGCCAAATGGGCCCAGTCAAGTAATGACCCAGAACATAATGAAGTTGAGGAGAAACAACCCGGGACGTGTAGCCCACTTGGAGATATCCTGTGAATCAGCAAATGAGTAGTTAGTTTGTTAGATTTGCTGGCAGAATTACAGCTGTAGGTACTTGTGAATATATAAGTTGTACCTGAAATCTAAGGAAATCATCATGAATGAAATTACACGTTTTCTGTATCTCTCTTTCTTTCTTCCTTTCTGAAGTCTCTTTCTGAAATCTTTCATTTTCTCTACAACAACTCTATTTATGATTAATATACCTCTAAGGCACTCTTTTCCTCCTTCCGCTGATTAAGGAGCTTTCTTAAAAAGATCCATTAATCAAGAAGGGGGTTTTTAATGAGGCCTAAAATTCTTATAAAAAAATATATATATTTGTCATACAGAGGCAGATTCAAATGCTAGTTCATTTCCATTCTAAAATACTTGGTTAGCTGTTTGATCATGCATTAACCTTTAGTTATTGACTCTGACATGTTGAAAATTAAATGATTGGTGTTTTGCCAATCCAAATGTTATTATTTGGGGCCTTTGGTCTTTATCTTCTATAGTGTTATCTACAACAACCAATGTTATTCAATTTCTAGCAAAATGATATTCAAGCTACATCAACTTTAGCTGCTAAAGAATCCTTTGCCCCATGTCCCTCAGTATGCACATTCTGTAGTCGTAATATGATATGAAAAACTTGATTTGTTTGTATACTTTTCCATTTCATAATAAGCATGGTTTCAGTTTTTAGTGGCTGAGCTCTTAAAAGTGATTTATTTTGATTTTCCTCTTCACAATGATGAAGCAATATGATTTACATGGAGCGTTTTTCTTTTCCGTGTTAAAACTTGGTTTAAATTGATGGCTTTCATTCTACAGAAGCACAAATCGAAGAAGGAAATAATGGAGGATGTTATTTTGAAGAGCAAGTTTTTCAAGGTAAAAGTTTTGATGCATCATAAAGGTTACTCTATTGTTTTCCAATTGTTCTTGAGTCTTTACTTCTGCTCTTCTGGTTTCTGATTTTCTATTGGATCGGTCTTGTTTCATACCAGGCGCAAAAGGCAAGAGATAAAGAAGAAAACGAGCAACTGATGGAAGAACTGGATAAGAACTTCACATCCTTAGTGCAGTCGCAGGTCTTATTGTCCCTAACCGAGCCAGGCAAGATGAATGCCTTGAAAGCTCTTGTGAGCAAGAGCGTTCCAGATGAGCATGTGAAAAAGGAAGAGTTACCCATTGCACAGATAGCTGAAACTTCTAAGCAGGTGTGGGGTTATGGTTCTAGGTTTGGTCTTATTACAGTAAAATAGCCATGCTGGATAAATGCTCTTGTCCGTACAAATTTCTTTCTTAATTTGTTTGATATTGTTTCTGAAATCTTACTTTACCAGGCCATATTTCTTCACTGCTTAAGAAATATAATGAAACTTATACCACTACAGTTAATAAAATTTTACTTTTAGTTTGATGAAAAGGAAGCTTTAATTTTCAAAATTTCTGATGGCATATTTGGATGTAGAATCAAAATCACGCATAAAATATTTTATTGTTCTTTACTCTGACAGGAACAACCTGACTCATATGATAAACTTGTCAATGAGATGGTATTGGATATGCGTGCTCGGCCATCAGACAGGACAAAGACACCTGAGGAGATTGCTCAAGAGGAGAGGGAGCGATTAGAGCAATTAGAGGTATCTTCAGTCCGAGCTCCACTACTTTTTTTTATTGTATTTGCCTTTTTATGCTATAGTTTTATTGGCAGAGCTATTTACAGGCTGTTACAGAGGATAGAGAGTTTTTCGTAATGATTGTTTATATATGTTAGATTCAACGTCACTAATGTTTGCTTAATAATTTTTATGGGATTCAACAAATTCCAGGAGAAACGTCAAAAGAGGATGTTAGCGACGGATTACTCTAGTGATGAAGATGGTGAAAATGCTGGGAAAGATTCTGTCCAGAGGCCAAGGGCTATCTCGGGAGATGATCTTGGTGATTCCTTTGCACTTTATGAGGAGCATGGTAGTAAAAAGGGTTGGGTTGATGAGATTCTTGAAAGAGAAGATGCAGACGATTCCGAGGATGAAGATGAGGATTCTTCTGAAGATTCAGAAGGGGCTGAAGATACCGACGAAGATAAAGGATCTGATGAAGACGAAGAAAATGAGCGTGAAAAGATTCTCTCTCTGAAGGACTGGGAGCGGAGTGATGATGATGATGTTGATACAGATTTGGATGAGGATGATGATGAGGCCATTGGTGATGAATATGTGGAGAAAAGAGGCCGTAAATCAAACAAAATTGAACATAGGAAAAAAGATGAGTCTGTGGATGCCAAAAGAATCAAGTCCAGTGTCAAACATACTTCAACTAAACTGGACATTCCCTTTATAATTGAAGCTCCAAAGAGCTTAGATGAGCTGTCTTCTTTATTATCGAGTTGTTCTAATGACGATGTTATTGTGATTATAAATAGAATTCGGGCAAGCAATGCAATTAAGCTTGCTGCAGAAAATCGGAAGAAAATGCAAGTAAGCTGCTTCACCCTGTGTGTGTTGTTTGCGTCTGCATCCTTGTTCATGTTTGGAAACTTTTGAAGGATTAGATTTACAAAAAAAATGTTGAATCATGTTTTGGAAAGTTTTGCTATTATTGTTGTTTTTTATTTCCTAAAACCTAAGTTTGCAGTATTAACCTTAATTACTGAGTAGTAATAGGTAATTCTGGCATGCTACTAATATTGTGGTTGGTTCCATTCATTTAAAACTGACACATCTTCTATTTACCAGGTGTTTTATGGTGTTCTTTTGCAATATTTTGCTCTGTTAGCAAATAAGAAGCCCTTGAATTTTGAGTTATCGAATTTGCTTGTCAAGCCACTAATGGAGATGAGTATGGAGATTCCATTTTTCTCTGCCATATGTGCTCGCGAACGAATTTTACGAACGCGTATGCAATTTTGTGAGGCTCTCAAGAACCAAGGTTTTTGATAATTTGATTCTTTCAGTCCTAACTTTATTACCTCTACCTTAGTCTTTTGCAGATTTCCTAAATTGATATATAAATATATTTTGCAGAAAATGGATGCTGGCCTACCTTGAAAACTTTGTTTCTCCTGAGGTTATGGTCCATGATTTTTCCATGCTCTGACTATCGTCACGTAGTAACTACTCCAGCACTGTTACTAATGTGCGAGTATTTGATGCGTTGTCCCATAATGTCAGGTCGAGATGTCGCCATTGGTTCATTTTTATGTTCCATGATTCTTATGGTATGCACATGTTCATCATTTTCACTATATAATTGAACCTGTATGACATCCTAGATAGTGATCTCTTTTGTTTCTTGAACTCGTAAACCCGGTTACTCTAAAAGAGAATGCTGCTGATATAATTTTGTGTTACGATTGACATTCATAATATATTCATATAAATTTATTGGTCCTTGCCATTACTAATTTTCTTAAAAGTCCCCAAACTTGTAAAGCCAGATTTGAACCAGGTGATGGCACAACTATTGTGTTTGCAGTTAATGACATGATAAATTATGGCATTTTGTAGTTCACCAAACAATCTCAAAAGTTCTGTCCGGAAGCTATTATGTGCCTCCGAACTCTGTTGATGGCAGCGACAGACAAAAATCTAGCATCCGAGCAAGATTCACAGGTATTGTAACATCATGATTGCAGCTTATGAATAATAATAACAATAAACAAAATTAGATAATAGTTTTTTTCTTGTAATAAATATGCTTTGCTCGTGCAACTTATTGGACTAAGCTATATTTATGTACATTTCTTTGTTACCAGTTTTATCATCTTATGGAGCTGAAAGCACTCAGGCCACTGTTACACATACGTGATGGTGTGGATGATATTAATCCTCTGAATATCCTCATGGTAATGGAAATGTCAGATGACTCATCATTTTGCAGCTCAGATAATTTTAGGTCTGCAATTGATGCTCTTTTTCATTGTTGTTTTGATGAATGATGATGAGATGACCTCAATTTGTTGTTTTCTTTGCCCATTTCATTGAATTGTCTGTATTATGTGGAAGTTTCCCTTTTTCGGTTTTTATTTTTTTTATAGAATCGAATGACAAGTAAATTTTCATGCTCAGGGCTAGTGCACTGGTGACTATTATTGAAACTTTGAGGGGATTTGTTGAGATCTATGATGGGTTGAGTTCCTTCCCTGAAATTTTCTTGCCGGTTGCAACATTGCTACAAGAAGTTTCACGACAGAAACACATGCCGGATGCATTGAAAGATAAATTTAATGATGTTTCTCAACTCATTAAGAAGAAAGCCGAGGAAGCTCATACACTGCGAAGACCACTTCAGATGCGCAAGCAGAAGCCAGTGCCTATCAAATTAGTTAATCCAAAATTCGAGGAGAAGTAAGTCGCATTTTTTTCTTCTTCTTTTTCATGTTTAACTTTTTTTTACTGCCTCGTAGACATTGGTGTTTTTTAGAATCTGGATGAGTGACTACATCTAATGATCTTACTATGTTACACTACAGCTTTGTTAAGGGTAGAGACTATGATCCAGATCGAGAACGAGCTGAGAGAAAAAAGTTACGAAAGCTGGTAAACCGTGAAGCTAAAGGCGCAGTGCGAGAGTTGCGGAAGGACAACTATTTCTTATATGAAGTAAAGCAAAGAGACAAGGAATTAGTGGAACAGGAAAGAGCAGCCAAATACGGAAGGGCCATAGCTTTTCTCCAAGAACAAGAACATGCCTTCAAATCTGGACAATTAGGTAAAGGTAGTAGGAAAAGGAAGAGATGAAGCTATAGGTTACCTTGTAATGCTAGTGTTGCTTGAATTTTCTCATCAAATTTATAGGCATGTAGCATAGAATTTTAGGATTCTTGATGGTGGTTTAGTTGGATTGTAGCATTTCCATGTAACTGTGCTGTGTGTTCGTATCATTTTGATAAGCTAATTCTTTGTGAAACTTTTCCTATCCCATATTCATATTAGAGTGTTGAAGATCGGTATACATCCACAATGGCGATTGCCCATCCTCAATTTTTATTCAGTTAATCTACGGAAGGTGTTTGAAGGATTATATCCCATATGCATGTGAATATCCGAGATGAGGATAATGAGCAACTTAAAACAGCAACCTAGGTATAGTTTGTAGAATAGCCAGAGCATGAATGCAAACCCATCAACGTCCGGTCGGAAACATGATCTCTGAAAACTCGACACCTGGGGTTGATTCCGAAATATCTGTGGGTAGCAATCTTTGACCATATATCGTTGGAGCCAAATTAACCTGAATACGTACGTCGGCCCTTTTGTGAGTTCTACTGGCTTCAGTCGTTGAACTTTTCAGCTCCTGTCGCCATGCCAGCTCCAAGTCGCACAGTACCTCCCCCATGGTTGGTCTCTCGCTTCCCTTGTCTTCTAAACACTTCATTCCTATATCTGTAAATGTCTTGAAACATTCAGGGTTGATCTTTCCGTGTAGGAAAGGGTCAATGTTCTCATCTAGTGTCCCCGTTTGATAACAATTCAGAGCCCAATCAGCCAAACTCACCTTGCTATTGTCGTCTTCATTTTTGTCCCTTTGTAACACCGCGGGTCTAGCAAATAAAACTTCAAAAAGCACAACTCCGAATGAGTAAACATCAGATTTTTCAGTCAGTTTTTGTTGGCGATAATACTCCGGATCTAAATACCCGAAGCTGCCTTTCACCAATGTACTTACATGAGTTTCAGATTCTGTCATCGTCATATTTGGTCCAATTTTTGATAGTCCAAAATCCGAAACCTTGGCCTCCCAATTTTCATCTAATAGGATGTTAGTAGTTCACATCACGGTGAATGATACAACGCATCCCTGAAGTGTGAAGGTAATGGAGTCCCCGAGCTGCACCGATGCAAATCTTGAGCCTCTTCTTCCATGGAAGTGGCGATTCCTTGGTCTTGTAAAGGTGGTCCGCTAAAGTACCCTTTTCCATAAAACTGTAGACGATGATCATTTCATTAGCTTCCATGCAACAGCCGATCAAGGAGATTAAATGGCAGTGCCTAACCTTCGAAAGTATGGCGATTTCTGTTTGGAATTCATTGATTCCTTGGTGCGACTTGGGATTCAAACGCTTTATAGTAACGGTAGTGAACGTATTTCCATCAATAATGCACCCCTTGTACACCTTTCCGAACCCTCCCGAACCAAGTAGGAAAGCATCCGAGAAGTTCTCGGTTGCCAACTTTATCTCAGCAAGAGTGAAGTGTGGGCAGTCCTTTGATGATGTTATACATTTGGCTGTTCTTATTTTCCATTTCAAGAAAGATCGCCATCGTAATTGTAAAAATAGAACGACCCAACCACCATAAATTGCAGACAGTATTAGGCTAACCACTGTTAGAAGTACACAGAAAACAATCCACAGGATCTTAGGAGAACTTGCAGATGAGGGTACATTTCTTGGTTTGAATGGATTAGGTCCCGCGAGAGAGTTGTTTTCATTAGATAGTTTGAAGATTTCTAACCCATTCAAGGATGGCACACTATAACCTGAACCTATATTTTGTTGCATGGAAATAAATAGAGAAACTTCCCCCTGGTGTTCTCTTGAGAGATTCACAAGAAAATCTCTATACATGGGAACTCCCATCTCCTGAATTAACCTGGTTTCTGCTTGAGAGGCACCAGAGCTGGTATGAATATGAACAATGATTCGATTTTCGTCGTTGAAATTCGTGCTTTTTGGCATGTACAAATGAAATCTAATGAGATAAATGAACCCAGAATCTACAGGGAGTGACCAGGTTATGCCATCTTTAAGAATCAATGACTGTCTAGCTGTGGTATAAACTTCCATAGGGGCAGCGTATGCTTGCACCTCGGAGCCGACATCAATGTCTGCATTCTTCAAGTGAACAACTTGTGTGTTAGGAAACAGACCATTGCCTTGATCCCCAGACCAGGAACGAGACATGCCACTGTCATGAACAGCTGAGATGGCAGAACCTCCAATGTTCACACGATACAAAGTCTCGAGAGCTGTATAGTTCATGGAGGAAAACCGGTTGATCTGTCCGATGATTGGCAATCGCAACTCTCCCAGATAAAGCTTCCGAGGCACAGAAACAACCTCGATCATGTTGACGAATCCATAGGCATCAGGATAATCAGAAGATGGGGTGAACAATATATTCAATGTATAGTCATCCACAACAACACAGTATTCCTTGATAATATTCTCAACACCAGAAGCATTATTACCGTAGGAAGACTTGGAAACAGATAAAAGAGTGAAGCTACCGATGCTAACATTAAACAATGCTTTCGAAATGCTTAAGCCTGGATAAGAGATGGGATAAAAATGAAGCCTTACAAATTTGGGACCAAGTGAGACAGTGAATGAGCAATTGGATTGCGTCTTAAATATGCAGGCTGAAGTTTTCGAAAATTCAAGGTCACTGGATCCCTTGTTAAGGCTCCATGCTTGGATATTAGGAGACGGCATAGTTGTCGACGAAGCACAACTTAGGATCTCAGACATACCGGGAACTATGAGATGCCACAAGAAGATGAGTCCGAGTAACATATTACAAAGACAAAAGAGCGGTTTTTAGTGCGTTTGTTTTGTGGATACCAAGGGTTGTAGATAGAACATTAATTTACAAGGAAAAAAAGTCTAGAAAGAAAGAAGAAAAAAGTTGACTTCCACACCGTGTGGATCCCTCTATATTAAATGGATTGAACATGCAGTTAGGGCGGGGGGAAGAAGAAAATGAAACTTCCTTGGATCCTACCAGTGATAGTGAGTGTTTTTGACAGCAAAGATTGAAGATAACGTTTGCTACAGTACATGGTATGAAGCAAAGGGAGTCTGGTACCGTGCGCGCGTTCAATGGTCTCTTTAAGATCTGTCATCAGAAGGTTTGTCTTTCGGATGGTAAAACCTTGGATTCCACGAGAGAGGATTGAGATGACTAACTCTGGTGAGCAACATGAAGATGCTCAAAATGACATTCATCATATATGTCAGCCAAACTTGGAAGAACAAATTTCATTGAAAATTCAATTCGATTTGATTACAATTTTACGTTGATCTTATCAATAGAATAATATTTGAATTTTCCACTGAAATTGAAAGACCTTATTGTGTCTAACCTTACTATTGGTGCAAAGGTTTGAGAAAAATCTATCCCAAATTGTTGAGCATATACCTTCACAACTAACCTGGACTTAAACCTGTTGACAAATCCATCTGGGTTCAGCTTTGTCCTATACACGCATTTCACTCCATTTTTTGGTCTATTAACCAATACCCAAATTTGAATGTCCCGAAACATGCTCATTTCTTCTTGCAAGGGCAAGGCCTTGATCCATTCATCTACATCAGAAGCCTCTTTAAAGTTATCAGGCTCCAAAACAACTAGGTTGCATCTCTTTTACAGATATATGGTTCCTCTCACATGCCTATCTTCATCAGACTCACGATCGGTAGCAACTTTAGATTCACTTTGCAGCTGATGAACATAAGAGATTTGTATCTTAACTGATTCAACTTCATTTTTGTTCCAATTCCAGGTTGTTATCATCAAGTTTGACATACCTGCTTACAACAATCTTCTTAAATAAAGGATTGAAAAATTCTATAACCCTTTTGCCAATTTCCATAGCTCAGAAAAATCCTATCGAATATGACACTCACTTTAAAATCCGAATAAATTACCCCGCATTCACCTTTAACTCTAGATAACATACCCCACATTGATTTGATTAGTTTAGAGCAAAATTATGGTGAATTTGTGGTATGTAGCTGAATCAAAGAAATAAATCTTAAATCCACATTCATTTTTATTTTTGAAAAATCAATTACACAGCCATAGATGAAGCTTTCATGAATCAATACACGTATACATCAAAAGCTTAGATTTCAAGAGAGTTAGTAGAGATGTTAATGCCAACTATTCATATCCAACACGTTTCCGATGTATACCATACTCGACAGTCGTGTAAAGAAATCCGAGTAGAATAGTTTACTAAATGTGCTGCCAAGGTCTCTCGGCAAGGGCAACACATTGACTATATCTGAAACAATCGACCAGATGATCGATCGTCAATCCAGCAGCTTGCATGAATGAATAAACGATCGCCGGTCCGACAAATCTCAACCCTCGTTTCAGCAAGTCCCTGCTAATGGCTTCAGCTTTTGGAGTTCTAAGAGGAACGTTTCTCGGGTATTTGTATTTGTTAATGGTTGGCCTGTAATTCACGTAACCCCATATGAAGTAACTGAAGGATCCTTGCTCCTTCATAATCTGTGTATTCGGATAAGCATAAACAAATCATTAGAATAATTATATGCATTTTATAGTAAAAAATTGCAAAGCAATATATCCAGAGCGATATTCAGTAAGTTTGAAATTCGAATATCGATATCTTCAATCATATCCTCTCTTCCTTGAGTATTCAATAGAAAACTGAAATTCGAATCTCAATGTGTTTGAAATTTAATTTGCTTGATCCATGTAATCACAATTAAAATGAATATTCAATAGATTTAGAGTTCGAATCTCCAGATTCTAAAATTGTAGAGAAATTATAGTATCAGACTTGCCTTTTGTATGCATTTGGCATTGTGTATTATACACCTTACTCTGCTTTCAGTCAACATGATTTCTTTGTTTGATGATATCTCATCGATTTCTTTATCTCCCATTTTTGCAACAATTTCAGGATCAAAACCACAAAAGGCTTCTCTGTAAGATAAAATTCCAAACTTTAGTACAATATTTCTTCAAATTTGTCCCCATTTTAATGATTTATTATTCGGAAATCGAATACTAAGTCAATAAAAGGCGTATAATTCGGACGAGAATTCACGAATACTCGAGTCCAGAATTCGCTTGAAAATTGAAGAATGTACCTATAAATCTCCTTTCTTTTCAAAATCTCAGTCCAATTGTAATCCGTCAGCATTCCAGACAACATAAGCAGCTCGAACAATTGTCTGTTTGATTTTTTATAACTTGAAGATTTAAAAAGAAAACTCATAACAAACAAAAAAAATGATTCCAAACAACTTACTTGTCATCATAAACAGGAACTCCCCACTGTTGGTCATGAAATGATATATATACTTCGTCTGCATAAAAAACGAATAATTATAATATTTTATTGTGAACGTTATATTTATTTTTCGATTATATAAGTGATTGTTTAAATAATAAGCCTACTGAATCCATCAAATGGTCTCAGTAATAAAAGCGAGTTTTATTCTCACCGTAGAGTGTGTGTATTAATAGGTTAATAAAATTTCGAACAAATATTATCTTATAATCGTTTATATTATTTAAAATAATAATAATAACTTGAATTTTTGAACTTATGCGGAGAATCTTAACTGCAAGACTATGATGGTGACCGAGACAAGTTTCTTGTTGACTATAGTAATGTTGTCTGAATATTGCAGATGTTCTGTCTTTTCAGGTTATTTTGACTGCGAATTAGTCACAATATTCTATACTTTATCTTATGTTACCTAAATTCAAAGGATGCAAATATTTTATAAGATCATAATTGTAAAAATAAACTATAAAATATTATATTTATATTTTTTTGAATATGTATTGAATATAAATACAAAAAGTTCCAAAATTTCTGAGGAAACTAATAATACTAAGACAGAAGATGGTTGGTTGGTTGATTGATTAAATGGATAGAGGAAATTTTGGTTGGATATTGGCTAAGAAATTAATTAAGAAATACAAAGATTCAAGACAACCTATCAAACACCATGGTTGTTGAGATGCTTTTTCATAATAAAAATTAATGATTTTCATTATCATCATCATCGTTACTACTACTACTACTATTATTATTATTATTATTATGGTTATTATGGGTGAAGTAATTAATATATGGACATTTTGATCCGAGTTGAATATTTGAAAGATAATATTAGATTGTATGTGCGAATGTGTGTGAAACGATATATTCCGGTCAAGTTTAGGTGGGTCAGTGCATGTGTCGGGTTGAATGACAGATGGAGATGTATTATACTCGAGTTGTGTTTGGATGAGTAAAAAATCTGACCCGATCCGACTTATGACCACCCAACTATATAAGTTTTTGAAAGAAAGTATATAAAAAATATTAAAAATAATATCGAGAAGTTTACTCAGTGTTGGTGAATACATGAAGTTGGATTGATATAATTTTTTACTAATTTATAGTATATAGATTGTTGAATTATTATTATTTTCTAAATTTCTTATATATATATATATAATGTTGAACTATTGATTTTCAAGTTAGCAATTTCGATCATAATAATTAACAAGTGTTATTTGGACTAATTTTCAGTTTTTGTATAGGATCAAATTACATCAAATTAAAGTAGGGGACTGACTTCATAATTTTTGCAGAGGGATGAAATTCAAATTAGACCTTATTGTTAACGTACCACTATTCTTTGTAACCCAATTGCATCTCCTCAGTTCTCCGTTACCAGGCTCCTGTTGCTGCTGCCGTGGCTGTCGGTGCTGTCGGACACTTTTAATGACGGGCACGAACGCTCTCCTTTCATGATGAGGCACGATCGAGCTGAGAGCTAACTTGATCTTCTGCTCCAACGGTGTAGTACTACTCGAATGATCCGTCATCGACGAGTCATTCGAGTCTTGCGACAAAGATAACGATAAAGAAGATAACGAAAATGACGAACTGCTTCGACGGAGTCCGATGGGGTAGATTTTCTTCAAGTTCTTCGACGAAACTTGATGACTTTGTGTCTGCTTCTCTTTCTCTTTCTTCTCCACAACATGTTTCCTTACATTAGCTCTAGACATGTTGGAGAAAACCATTGAATCCTCTTGTTTTTTTTTCCTTTTAATGTGAAGATGAGTTTTAAATGTTGGAATAAAGTTTAGGGTTTTATATATAAAAGCTGCCGACTTGGTGAAATATGAATTTCTATTTTTTTGACAGTTATTATGCAAAATATAAAAATTAAAAGAAAAGAAGTAGGTTGGTAAGTTGGATATATCCAATATTAGTTAATAAAAAAGAATAATAATTCTAAATTATTGAATTGGACCCTTAACCTAATCTGATAATTGATTTAATGAAGTTGTATGAATAATTTATATTATATTTAAAGGTCAACTCATATTTTCTTTTAATTATAAAGAAATTTATCTTCTGAAGTTAAGAAATAATAATTTTAGGATAAGAATAATCATAAATATATTTAATAGTTAATTCACGACCTTCTTTAAAAAATAACATCATAGATAATTGTCTGAGAATGTTGAGAATCTATCGAATTAGTTATTCCATCAATATAGCCTTTCAACGAATTCTTTGTAATGGAAATTCTAACTCTTTTGAGAACAATAAATACTATACATTTTTTGTTGTTAAAATTAAATTATTAAATAGTGAAAAATAAATGTTGAAGAAAAAATATTTAATGAAATATAGGATAGTTGATGGAACAATGATTATGCTTTGGTGAGATCTGTCTTGTCATTATTTTGTTTTGATATCCATCCAGCTAACAAGAATTGATGCCTTTATCACCCAATGAAGTATATATTTATATATATTATCTTAATATTACAAATAAGTGTTGTCTGAATTGAAACAATTTGTACTGCACTTAATTAGAAGACACACAGGGAAAGTAATTAGCCTTCGTCAACAACATTGAATCTCAAGTGTTGAAGAACAGTCTTTTCATTCATCTGTAACTGTGCTTTTCAGCCCTCTAATTTATTCATAATGGTAGTTGATGGAACAATGATTATCTCTGCTAAGATTTATCTTTTCTAACAGAAATAGATGGTTGAGATTAATAATAGAAAATAAGAAGATATTCAACGGAAAAAACAAGGAATCAATCTCAGCCATCTATTTTCACTCATCCAACGGTCCTAAATCTATGTAAAACTAAATAGTTTTACATTGTGTGAGTGGATCTTAACCCATATATATATATATATATATATATATATATATAGATATATTGATATTGAACTGATTGTTTGGAATCATCATTTTATGTTATCTTGGTTTCTGTTCATAGACAAAGTGTTATACATTGCATGGCACTGTATATATATATATATCGTCAGTGTTTGCAATTGTTGGATTTGTGTCAAACGAAAGACCTTCACCTTCATCAGTCTTTTATACAACTTGAGGCATGTAGGGGAGTGCTGTAGTGAAATCAAATTTACTGGAAATACTTGGAGCAAGCAAGCTTTTCCCACAGTCATGCATGGCATTTGTATGCTACAGGAGGCTGGGGATTTGGCTTTTTGCTGTTTCATTAAATGCAACTATTATTGGGTAAAATAGAGAATAAGGTTTTGACAAGTTTTTGCAGACCGATCTAATTAGGCTAACCACGGCTGGATTTGATTTCCTTTTTGATGTATGTATATGTAGACATGCAGGCTCATATACTTGCATTGGATGATAATATTGCATCTCTAAACTTGAACAAAGCTCCATCTCCTCTGAATTAATTGCTCTAGGCTGTATTTCATGTCTGTCTTCTTTCCATGCAGAAAGTTTTCTTCCCCTATGCCTTATTTATGAGACATGAGATGGTGGTTTTGTTATTTGTTCAAGCTGTGGACTCCAGGTATTAGGGTTGCCAAGGCAGATGCACAAATGCTTAAATGCAGATCCTAATTTGGTTAGAGCAAACAACATATGTATAACTATATCTATACCTATTTATTGTTAAGGTTACCTGTTCCAACATGTTTACATATGTTCTTCCTCACACCATCATGTCCGAAGTTGACACAATTCTTTCATGGAGCTACCCCCATGACTCATTGCTGCCAAAGCCTCCCCTTCCAGACTTTTCGCCTTGGCCTTCATTCCTTCACCTCTAGTCATCGCCTCAGCGATGGCTCAGCCTAGTTCATCAGAGTCGGGAACTGAGACTGCACCCTAAAACCCACACCCATATCATCCACCCAGAGCCTAACGTTGACATACTGGTCAGCCTCCATTGGCTAAGCCAGTACCATGACTAGGGGTGTAAACGAGCCGAGTTGAGCTCAAGTATTGTTGAGCTCGACTCGACTCAAAAACTCTAAAATTGAGCTTGACTCGACTTGAAAACTTGCGAGCTTAAAATTTTCAAGCTCGACTCGAACTCGAAATCCTGAAATGAAGCTCGTGAGCAGCTCGAAATGAAAAAAAATTCTTAAACTTAATTGAATCCTCAAATTCAAACTCGAACATGAACCTTAAATACATAAAAATTTTATTGTATTTTAAAAAAATTAATACATCAAAATTAATATTTTTAATAATTTATTTTTTTAAAATAATATCTTAATATATTATATTTTCGAGCTACTCACGATTTCGAGTAGCTCGTTAAGAACTCGAGTCGAGCTCGAGTTGAGTCAATTCGATCCGAGTATTGATCGAGTCTTGATCGAGTCGATCTCGCGATTTGTCTCGTCTCATTTACAGCCCTAACCATGACTCCACCAACTGCCGCTACCAAAATCAAGTTCCACCAACAGTGACTTAGAAATCCACCAACTGCTTTGTGGTTCAGTATCGGGTACAATTCCACACCCTTCATTCTGCTGCTGGGTTGTACCGATTTCAAGTCCGTTAGTCAAGGCTTCCATTTGTTCCTTCCTCGATAGCTGTCGACTCCCAAAGCAAACATAAACATCCTGGCCATTCAGGCCAGAACGAGAACTTGAATTGCCTCAATCCGATACATCTGGGCCTGTCGAACTTAGTGATCCGACAGAGAAAACACGGTTATGACCAACATGTGCCTTCAAGCATTGAGCATATTCAGTTTCCAAAGAATCAAACGTATTCAAAACACAACCCCAGCCCTTGTATTTCTAATACTTCCATCCCTGACAAACTCCCAAGCAGGATCTGATCGTTTGTAGAACTTAAACACAGGTGGCAAATGTTCTTGCTTGATGATCAGGAACCCGAGTAGATGACCACCAAATTAGACTTCACTCAAAGACTTAGGTTTTTCGACATTGGACCAAATATAATCAAAGATACCAGAAAAGTACTAGAGAAGAAGAAACTGATTATGGGTATTTGCAAGCTGGCCGCAAGGGATTGAGTCAACCAAGAAGAAATCAGAGAGGATGACAACCAGAGGGTTAGAGTGGGAGTTGAACCAGTCAACTAAAGGGTCATGAAGTTCGCCTAAAGCAGCCATGATGGGGATGTTTCCACTGTGGCCAAGGTCTTTAGCATCTTCAACACCTGGTGCGATTAGAGGGTGAAAGTGAAAGGGAAAACAAGGGGAGTGACGGAAGGAGGAGAAGAGAGGAGAGGGAGGTCTTTACGGATGACAAAGATATGAAGATGGTTAGGCCTCTGAGAGCAAGTTGGTGAGTGAGGCATAGAAGAGGAAGCATCTGTCCTTGAGCCGGGTATTTGAACACCAGGATGTGACAGTGGTGACCATGGCGGTTAGTTGATGGCTTGATTGTCGACACACGATGAGAGAAAGCTGGTCTAGTTTATAGAACTAAGAACTGCCGTATTGTAAACACTAAAGACTTCATCAATGGAATCGGGTCTCATTTGATATGTTGAAAAGTAATGAATTATGGATGTTTGTCAAAAATATGATTGGGATATATAACAAATTATGTGGTACCAATTTGAAAAGTGTGTAAAAGTCAAACTATAAAATAAAAATGTTTTAATAAAATTATATTAGTAATTTATCATTTTAATTGCACTTATTCTATAGTACAGTGACAGCTACATTGGTTAGTCGATGTAATAATGTCCATATGTTTCAAATCCATTAAAGGAACTGTTGATACATCAAGTTAGAGATGAAAAGGTTCACATACCTAAATATCCCTTGCCTGTTTTTAACAAAACATTTTTATAACAATGTTGAAGAGCTGCTACAGTCATCAATACAAAAATACTGAATCACTTCGGCAGTGGCGCTTCCCCGCTCCACCGGAACAAAAGTTGTAAACTGGTTCAGCATCAAGGAAACGTTCATGCACTGGATAATTGTGAAAAACAAGTCAGAATGTATAATCGAACTTGAGCACCAAAGTGTAGCAGTTGCAAAAACGATGTAGCGATCTCAGGTCTCAACAATAACAGAGAAGAAACATACCCTGGATCACCATCGTCTATATTTAAGCCTCTTTTCTGGTAATCCTGTGATTTTAAAGCAAGGAATGATGATTAAAAACACTGGTCTTCGAAAGGTAATCCGAAGTGAAATCCGATGTTCTAAAAAATACAGAATAAAAGACCGGTCCTAGAATTTCAACTTGTCTACAAAACCAAAAGAAACAGAGAGAAGCAAAGAATTGATAAAAAGAATGACAGGTAAATTGCAATGTACAAGAAGCTTCCATACGATTTATGAGACGAATCTCACTAAAATGAGACCAGTTACTGGGAAACTAAAAGAATATTTACTCAAATTCCACTTTATACGACCTTGAGCAGTTTAAGGAGTTAATATGTCTTTGATCAGACTCGCATGCAGAACTGAATTCGAGAATCAATAACGCAAGTGAACAAAGTTTCGACAAACATACTTAAGATTCAAATCACTACACAGCTAATTGCAATGTACAATAGGTTCAACCCCCTAAAATAACAATTGATCGGCAGATAAAATTCCTCACCTGAAGCAATAAATTCCCAAAGCTGTTGTAATTTCATGAATAACAGATGTGGCAAAGTGTAAGTAGAGCGATCCTATTTAAGTAAAAGAGAAATATCAGACAAAATATAACATCATACAAGAACCACTGACAGTAACTAAGAAAGCAAACATTGTACCCGTGAATACACAGTAACCAAGAAGAACCCAAAAATCATCAACTAAGGGAAC